CCCCAAAACCCCAAAACCCCAAAACCCCAAAACCCCATCGCATTTTTATAAAATGAATAATTTGAGAAAATTCAATTGTAGCATTGAAAGTTATAAAATAAATTTTAATATTTTAATAATAAGGCATATTCAATATCTCAAAATGAACCATGCTTTATCTTGACCCACAAGATCTCTCTTATTTTATCATCAGGTTACTCACTGTTCCAGTAGTTGTACACATCAAACTCATTTTATTGCTTTGGAATGAGTTTCTCGTACTTCCATAGATTCCTTTGCACCAAATCTAAGATGGTTTGTTTATTCACTAGCACTTATGTTTTCTCTCCATTGATACTAATATAAATTTCTATCTCATTTAGTTCAACTTGATATGAATAAGCCATTGTCAATTTATCTTTGACATATTTCTTCAACTACTGCACGTTTATTATTGATTTCGTCCTTAGTACTGCATCTTAAAATCGGGGTTTATTGAAATTGTCAGAATTTAAGTTGAAGTCCTTTGACTAAGGCTAAATGTACTCTTGTCTGATTGAAAATTCTACAATTGAATGCTCATTGATTTAAGCTTTTGGCACTTGTTAAATATCTGTGTTAAAATTACTCAGGGACCTTTCATTTCTTTTCAGCCTCTTATTAGTATTTGATGCCATACCTAATCTAAGCTGCAATTCCTCTGAAGAATCATCAACTTGTAGCATGTCATCAGAGCCGAGCATAATAAAATCTTGGTTTTTCAGATTTGGCTTCCTGCCACGTTTTCCCTTTTTGATGACAGGTGACTCTTGTTTGAGAGCATTCTGCAAAGTACTGGTAGTACTTAAAGCACCGAAATAGGCTCCTCTTGTAGTATTATTTTAGGAGAATTTTAAAGTTCTCTTGCTACCAACTCCACCTAGTTTTTAGTTTGAGGTGTGATTGCTTATAGTTATAAGTGAGGATCTGTTCCTTGATTAGTTTAGAGTATGTGAGGATGAAGTATTGTTTATACCAATCACAATCTTCATATTACTTTTTCCTTTACTTTAATTTGATTATTATGATTATTTTTTCTCTTCTTACTAATTTCTTGAGTTGCTAACGTTATTAATGCTTATTAAATTCATTCCATAATCTGACTTGTGACCTCCATAATCTCCTCTTCTCTTTTTCCCTCTTTTACCTCCAGAATTTCTTCGATTAGGAGGTCTTCCTCTACTCACAACGATTGTGGCATTTACTTATCCTTTGAGTAAATAGTTAAACTAAGATAAAATTCTCTTACTTTAAATATTCTCTTCTTCGTCTTATAATTCAATTATATTATCAGTATCAAAGGGTAATTCAGGATTATCCTCTTCCTCAGTATCTTCCTTACATTCTTCAATCAGTCTTCTTGCAGAAATTGCTCCAAGCTTCCCCTTTTTCTTAATTCCTTGCAAGAGATCTGCTTAGAACTGCTTTTACTCCTAGTCAAACTGTATACCTTGACATTTCTTTCTGAAGTTTTCAAAGTCATGAATCTTCGGTACCACCTATTACCTACTTTCCTCTTCAAACTTATTGTAGGCATCAATATCGGTAATCAGGGCTTTAATGATGTATGTGAGTTTGTAATCAGTTTTTAAAAGTCTTCTGGATCCGACTGGATTTCTGCATTAGGGACATTATTTCTTTCTATAAAAGTATATTATAAATCGCTTGTTCCATGAAATTATGTTTAAATTCAAACTATTAGATTGCTTGACATTTATAGACTAGTCCTTAGCATTGAGTATTAGAAGTTGAATATATATGTTGTAATTGATGTGATTTATACTTACACAGTCCTGTTATAGTTTTCGATGCAGTGCCTACAAAACTTGTGTAAACACATTTTGACATTTAGAGGTTCTTTAAGTATGTCATAACATACCGGACAGTGGAGTATTTCCTTAATCTAATTAAAGCACTCCAGATCAATCTCCTCATCTTAGTCCTCGTCTTTAAGTTTTCTAGGGCCACAAGTCATTTGATAAAAATTCAAATCTAAATATGTTTTTAATATCAAAATCTTGAATAGTATTTATATTTCTGGTTTTGCTCTGTTTTAATAAGTCTCTTTTGAAGGTATCAAAGTTTCCCTCTCAATTAAATAGCTTATTACACCAACAAAAATAGAACTTAATACTTACCTCTAAATTTGTAGTCCACTATTTATTATCTACTATAGCCATTGAATGTTGGCTATCCATGAGCATTCCTACCGATTTCTGCTTTAATTATCACATCTGAAAGGGGATCGTGAATCTATTGATTTGACTCAGAGATATGATTAGAAGATTGCGGCTAGCTTTTTAATTTATCCATTTTATAATTTATATATGAGTTTATACTTTAATTACATAATATTCAATTAAATAATAGAATGCGGGGTTTTGGGGTTTTGGGG